ATTTCTATTCTAAGGAGTTGTCAGTGAAAGTAACATCTTTAAGAAAGTTCGTGACTTCTGAAATCACCAAAGAGTCATGAGAAATGGACATTCTTTGTTCAGGAAACAGTCAGCTCCCTTCCCCATCTCTCCCCCCTCTAATTCCTTGTATCTTGTCTCCTGTCCAGCACTGACCTCCCAGCCTGAATTGCTGCACTTACAAATGATTTCCTGCTTCTGGTTCAAACCCTTGGCTTTTAGGAGCCTTTTGAAGAAACCTAAATACCAACTTGGCCTGGTCTTTTAAACTAATGCTTAGATTCTCATAAAGACCAATCCTTCCCCCACCCAGCCGGTGGTCTTCCACACTAGAGTCCCTCCCTGGTGGGAGGCCCAGGAGCCTTTTACAAGGTAGGTGGGTAAATACTTATTGGATGGCATGGCTGGCTACACAAGTGTGACATGAAAAGTTCAAGAGACATAGTTTCTGGGTAATTAATCATTTTATTAATTATGCTAACAGGTAATTAATACAAGAGGTAAGTGGCACTCTCAAATGCCAAGGACCCTGAATGGATCCCACTCAACACTTATGTGCCCTTGGAAGAGTGGATGTTTCTGAGGGTGAAAATCAACTCATATTGGTTAACAAGTAATGAGAGAATGAATATTTTAATGAGAGGTAGACCTATTCTAGTGAGGGGCTGGAGGATATGACTTTGATCACTCTTGGACTCAGGCCACCCCAGCCACGGGCAATCTAGATAAAGGATCTATCCCCTACCCAAACCTGAGTAGAATGACTTGGATGGGATATGAACAAGATTGAGGAGAAAGTTAATCCAATCTCATCAGCAAAGTCCTTCAGATGCTGTCTTGATTTAGTAGAGAATGAGGAAGTAGAAAGGGAAAAAATCCTGGATCTCCCCAATAACTAGTTATTTAATAAGCATTTTCCTCACAAGGTGGGTATTTTGTAAACTCTTTCTCTCTCTCTCTCTCTCTCTCTCTCTCTCTCTCTCTCTCTCCTGTCTCTGTCTCTCTGTCTCTCTCTCTCTCTTTCTCTCCTCCTCTTCCTTTTCCTCCTCCTCCTTCTCTTCCCCCCCCAGTTGTCCCTATTTCTCTTAGCATAATGCACACTGTTCAATTCTTGAAAGTAATAAAGTTGTGATTCTCTTAAAACGGCCTGCAATCTGGACTTATTAATTTGACCAGGCCGCCTATACTCAAACTGGAAAGTTTGGCTCTCTTCCTTCGACCTTTACTAATGTGGTAGGTGCTCTGCATTAGCTCATGACTCAGGTCCTGCTCCAGATGGGGATGCAAAGGTTATCATTAAATGCTCAAGCTGGAAGGGATATTGGGCAGTGGGGTGTAGAGGAAAGATCTTGATTTGTCATCAAGAGACCTTGGGATCCCATCCTGTCCCTGACATCTAACACTTGTATGCCATGTGACTAAGAATAAGTCACCTCAATTCAATTCAATTCTAGGCCCTAGAGTTAGAAACACAAATGAAACAATACCTCCCCTCAAGGAGACTATATTCTACTGTGGGGAAACAACAGGTAGACAGATAAGTAAATACAAAGACTATAGGAGGTAAATAAAAAGTAACTTGGGATGATGAGACAATACTAACAACTCTGGAAAAATAGGAAAGAGGAGGGACCTAAGACTGAAAAGCAGATAGAAATTCCAAGAAGCAGAGGTGAGGAGAGAAAGCATTCCAGGAAGAGGGATAGTCTGTACAAAGGTGGGGAGGTGGGAAATTAAATATCCTATAAGGGATACAACAAGTAGGACAGAATGCACAAGAGGAAACAATAATATACTTTGGAGTTGTCAAAAACCACCATCACACTCTTAGTACAATGCATCTCCTTTTGATTGTTTCCATAGATGCTATTGCCCCCACCAATCAGCTATTAACCCGTAGTTCCAGTCCCCATCTCAACAAAGTACCAGTTTGAAAGTACAAGGTTGACAGCATAGTGGAAGGACCAGTAAAGGAATAAAACTTATCTCTTCATTTCTATAACCCAGAAGTCATTATTACCAACTTCAGCCATTTCTACCACATTAAAATAAACTTAGTTCCCTCATTTGGGAAAACCTAGACTTTCAGTTTGGGTACAGGAAATCTGACTGGTTGTATGTCTCTCTGTTCTGGGATTGATCCATTTCAGTTTCTGATATGATTAGATTCTAGGATGCCCTCCCCCCACCCCACCCAAGGCTGTTGTTAAGGGAATTATTACATCAGGTTAGAGGTTTTATTGGGTGAACTGCTAAGACTCTTTCTAATTCTGAGATTTATCCTCTATGCTTAAACTCAAAGCAACACATTCTTCCTTTATGTATTATCTCTTCCCTGTTCTTTCTCCATCATTTATCATAGTAAATAAATGGTCACGAAGCTTTTATGACTTTAAGCAAAACTTTGGTTTTGGCACCTGGAACATGGCATGCAATATTCAAATGCCACCTCCACCAGGGAATCTCTCATGATCCTTGGTAAGAAACCTTCCCCACTACTGTAGACTTTCCAGTTTTCAGGGCCTAGACTTCATTGTAACAGGCTTAAACATGCCCCATTTCCTTAGCCTGCCCCCCCCTCTTTTTTCTGGAATTTCTAACCAATGGGGCCCTTTCTTACAAAATCCTTACCCCTCTTCTGAATCATGGAGTTGGTCTGATTCATGAACCTGGGGGGGCCCACCTATCAAATCTAGGAGAAGGGATGAGAGCTTGGTATATTGATATACTCAATCTGGGGGATAGGCACTACCCTGGTGATTGTCCTACCCTTCCCCCCCCCCGCTTCCTCCTTCATATTCCCATCATTGGGTGCCTCAATAGTCTTTCCTTCTATAAGTTAAAACTCAACCAAAAAAGATCTCTTACTTTACCTTGGTAGTCAATCTTTTTTTTTTCATGAAGTCCTCTTTAAATCTCAGAATTGTTGCAGTGGAATAGAATACCCACAGACCTCACCCAGCATTTTTATTTCCGCCACTCTTATGAATGTGTTCCATAATATTTTATGTTTTTCTTTTACTGTATGTAGTGTCTTGTTCCCCTACCTGACAGAAAGCTAAGGCATCAAACTGATGACATATTAGCATCCATGGAAAGAAGGCTGAACTTGGGGCAGCTAGGTGGCACAGTGGATAGAGCACTGGCCCTGGATTCAGGAGGATCTGAATTCAAATCCAGGCCTCAGACACATGTATTAGCTTTGTGACCTTGGGCAAGTCACTTAACCCCATTGCCTAGCAAACAAAAAAGGCTGAACTTGCTGTCAGGAGATAGAGGTTCAAATTAAGGCTTTGACATTTAGTAGTTTAACCATGAACAACTTACAGCCTCTCCAAGTGTCCATCCCCATCTATAAAATGGGGATAATAATGGATCACCTGCCCATAGAGCTACAAAATCACAAAATTTCAGAGCCTAATCTAGTCCAATCCATACCTGAACAAGAAACTCTTCTAAAACATCCTTACAAATGGCACTTTGGCTTTTAAAGACCTCCAGGGATGGGGAACTCATCACTTCTGAAGACAGCACATTTCACTTTTGGATATCTCCTATTATTAGAAAGTTTTCCCTTATAAGCAAGCCTACATCTGCGTCCCAGACAAGCCAAATCCCTCTTCAATAGTGAAAGCCTTTTTTAACTTTTGCAGAGTTATCAGATTCTCCCCTCCATGGCCTAAGAGCCATTCCATTTGCCCTTTCACACACTATAGCACAATACTGAAGCTCTTCCCCACTGTGGCTGCTCTTCTTTGGATTATCTCAAGCTTGTAAAACACTTTCCTAAAATGTGGCATTCAGAGCTGAACACAAAGCCATAGATGTGGTCTAACTTAGACCAATGCAGTTTTCATTGTGACAAGTCAGGAACATATTTAAGACACTGAATATGTAAAATTGAAGAAAATTCTGGTGTGTTATTGAAAAACCAGCTGGATTAAGAAGCTAAATGCTTCCAGTCTTTAAAATCAATTATAAGCCCTGACAAAGAACCGTAGAATACAGGATAAGATCACTACCCTAAAAACTAGACATGAGGGACAATCTGTGCCTGGGGATGGTGATCAAAAATCTTTCAGAAAGAGTAACTTAAAAGCGAATAAGGGAGGATTGTTATGAGCAAAGTTCCCATAAAAAAATGTAAACCCCTTGATTTTAGTATGAGGTAAAATTAGAGATGTTTGACTAATGGACCTCACTTTGGCTAGTTACTGACATCTCCAGCCACCTCCTTTTACTTGCCGGGATAACTATAACAAGCGTGCGTAGTCACATTGGAAAGGTTTGTGTATTTTTCTAGATCACTAGAAACAACGGATTCGAAGAGGCCTGTGTGGTCACACACACACACACACACACACACACACACACACACACACACGATAAAATGAATAATTTAATGTGGAAAAAACCAGATGCCGAAGGCGGAGTTCGTTCTGCCCCGGCGGCCCCAGGGGTCACTGCCCAGGCCGCCCAGTCGCCCAGTTGTGAGCCTTATCTGCCCCGGTGCCTGGAGAGCTGCGGGGCCTGGGGGGAGTACAGGGGAAGGCTGTGTGATGGGAAGGGAGGAGGCCTGGGGGCCGGCCCAGAAGCACGGGATTTCCGCCCAGGGCAAGGCCGCGAGGCTGAGTTCTGCGGGAGAAGGCCAGTGGAGACTCCCCGGGGCCAGGGCGACCGGAGCGGGGTCCCGAAGAGGGCCAGGCTGGGGAAGGCGGAGCGAAGCGGAGCCTCGGAGCTTGCCTGGGACTGGGGGCGGGGACAGGGCCTGGGCCGCCGGGGCGGAAGCGAAGGGAGGGCGGAGCTGGGCGTAGGCAGGGGCCGAGCCTCGGAGAAGTCGGCGGGGCTGGCCGAAGAGGGCTGAAGGGATGGGGACCCCGGCCGTGCTGCCGCTGGACGGGCTTCTGCACGTCTTCTCCTTCCTGGAGGCGCCGGACCTGCTCCGCGCGGCCCAGGTGGACAAGGTACGGGCCGGCGTCTCCTGTTCATTCGCCCGCCCGCGACCCCGACGGGCGCCCCACACCCTCTGGGCTGCTCCGGGCATCCCCGAGGCCCCGTGCCGATGGGCCTGCAGTCCCCTCCCACCGCCCCGAAGTGCTGGGGTCGAGGAGGGCGGCGCTGTCCGTGGGCTTCTGTGGGACCAGCAGGGTTTGGGCGGAGGCTCAGGACCTGAATCCCCTGGGCACCCCAGCGCCAGAGGAGGGCCCGGGCCGAGCCCATCCATCCCTTGTGGGCTTCGGGCCCGTGGCAGAGCTGTGGGTGACGTGACCTCTCGAGGTTCCTCTGGGGTTCCCCAATTACTCAGCCCCTGCCAACTCTGTCCTTTGCAAGACAAAACCTAAAAGGCTACTAGTACTTCCTGCAGTTTGGAGAGGCATTATGTGAAAGACCCAGGGACCACGACCCTGCCCCTCTCCTGCTCCCTTCCTCCCCCCCCCCTTTTCCAACACCGTCATGCTTCCTGAGCGTAAACTAAGTGAAATAACCTTAGACATGGCATCACGAGGTGGATTTGAGGGAAGATTGCCTGACAAGTTAGTAGCAGAGGTGGGGCAGGTCTGCAGATTACCAGTCCACAGTTTTTTCCCCTGTCCTAGCCTCATTTTTTGTTTTTTGGGGGGATAGAATTTGAGGTCAGAGATAACTCAACGTTAGCTGCACTTAGTCTCTAAGTAAATAGATTTTTACTCATACTCACCACCTAAGGGGAAAGGTTAGGGGAAGCTCTCTTGGCTAGTTCTCTGGTTTGCTTTTTATTGTGATTGACATTTGTTGTGAGTAGACCAGGGGTGGGATCTAGGAGTTCAAATGATGTGATTTTCTTTCCAGTGTTCCACACGCTGAATCTCCTTATCTCCACTCTCTTTAAAGACCAGAGGCTTATTGGCTGGTAGCCTGGGCTAAGGCATTGGTTGGTTAGAAGCTCTTCTGTGGCATGAGATCTGGGGGTTTTGGGGGAGGGCGGAGTCAGTGGTCTGGATTTTTTTTTAATAAAATAAAAGTAACCTCAGTGGAGCCTCATAACAACTTTGTAAATTAAGGAAGGACAGCTATTCATTGTCCTCATTTCAGAGTTGAGAAAACTGGAGTTAAGAGAAGTTCAATGATTTGGCCAAGGTAACAGCTTCTAGAGAAAAGAGTTGAGCCAACATCCCCAATCCAAATTCTTTCCATAAAAAGCTACTTTCCATATTCTTTAGTGTTAGAGTAACATTGTGGCAACATGGCCCTAGGATTGTTACTCAGTATCAGAATAGACCAACCTGAGATCTTTCAAGACAATATTAGAAAGGCAAAAGGATACTGAGCCCAGATGTTGAGTAGCGGAGTTCCAGCTGTCTTCCCTTCTCCTTTCCTTGAGGATTACTCCTGGAAAGGATGCTTCCAAACAACCAGAGAGCAAGACAGGAGACCAACATAACAGATTTTCCCCAGAATGTTTCTCTCTTTCCATCTCCCTTCTTCCTTTCCCTCTCCAGGTCTGGAATGAAGCTGCCGAGTGTGCCTTCCTGTGGAGGTGAGTGAGTGAAGGAAGAATGAGGTTTGGAGGAAAGTGACCCTGTTTCAGGGAAGAAAACAATCTCCTGGCCTTTTGCCAAGTGCCTGCTCTCTGCTCAGCCCTGTTTCTTTATGGGGAAACAAGAAGAACAGAAGAGAATGGTTGGGGGAGATAGGACAGGTTAAATTTTTTCTCATTCATCAGGAATGGTTTATCCAGGATAATAACACTCACCCACTGTTCCTTCAATTTCCCTGCCTTTCCAGTCATTTTACATTCCTTCTCCTGCTGCATTCCACCTTTCAGGCAAACTAGCTTACTGGCCATACTTTGGCTAACAGGAGGCCGGCCAATGAGAGCTCAGGCCTTATCTTCATAGCAGGTATTCTGTGTCTGTGTCTAGTCTCTCCAGGCCCCTGATACATTTGAACTCAATCTCTTATTTCTATGCCTCTGTTCAGGCTGGCCCCAAATATCTGGAATGTATTCCTTTATCACTGTTTCAGAAAGATAATGCTATACAGTGGCTTTAGATACAATGGACCTGAGATCAAATCCCACCTCTGATGATTACTATCAGCATGGTAGGACTTGGACAAGTCACTCAACCTTCCTGGTCCCACTTTCCTTATCTGAGGTTCCATCCATCTCTATACCTATGATCCTCTGATCTTAGAATCCTTAGCTTCCTTTAAGGCTCAGGTGTTAGTACTTATGTGAAAACTTTCTGGATTTCCTCTAGTTTTTAATGAGTTTTTTCCTCTCCATATTACCTTTATACAAATCCCTCCACACATGTGTATTTGCTTTATGATTTATTTGAGTGATTTTTGCTTTAATGTACAACAGTAATAACACATCTATTAATTACTATATAGACTATTATACATAAATTCCTTTGAATAGCAGACCCATTTCTTGAAGGGAGAGGTACTTCCTGGAGAAGAGCTGTATTTCCTGCCCACTTTCACATTACACCACCCTTGGAGTTATATTACTTGGCACCCTTCTCCCAGGATGCTCCTTCTGACGGCTCCCACGATGCTCCCTGGGATAGATAGATTCAGATAGTCCAGACTATCTGAATAATAATGATGGCTAGCATTTATATACACTTTGAGCTTTGCAAAATGCTTTGCAACACCTCATTTTATCCTCAACAATCCTGGAAAGTAGGTACTATAATGATCCTCATTTTACAGATGAAACTGAGGCAGGCTGGCTAAGTGACTTGCATAGGATCATACAACTATAAGTGTCTGAGGTCAGATCTCAACTTAGGTCTTCCTGACTCCAGATCTAGAACTCTATCCACTTCTACCCTTAGCTTCCTTCAAAGATCTTACAATTTAGGTTGGAGGAAAGACAACATGTACATATATAGATACATACAATATAGACAGAAGGTCATTTGGGAGGAAAAGCTCTAGGAGTTGGGGGTGCTAAACCTGGATGGAAACTAGGGTAGAGCAGAGAAAGGAATGCATTCCAGTGCAAATATAACATGATGAAGTATCACATATAAGGAAAAGTAAGAGGCCAGTTTGGCTAGACCACAGTATTCATAAAGGGGAGAAATAAAATGTAAAAATGTAATAAGGCTGAAAAGATAGGTTAAGGCCAGGTCACAAAGAGATTTTAAATTCCAGGAGAGTTTTTATTTGATCCTAAAAGCAAAAAGGGAACCACCAGGGTTTTTTGAGTAAGAGAACGATGTTTTCAGAACTGTGCTTTTAGGAAAGTCACTTTGATACTTCTGTAGAAGCTGAATTGAAGTGGGGACAGGCTGGATGCAGGGACATTGGGAGGCTGTTGTGATGGTCCAGGGGAGAGGTAATATATGCCTGAACTAGGATGGTGGCTATAAGTGGAGAGAAGGGGTTAGATGCAAGTCATATTGCAGAAGTAGAAACAATGAGAACTGGCTACTGACTGGATATGTGAGGTATATTAAAAGGAGAAATCAAGAATTACACTAAGGTTGTGTACCTGACTGACTGGGAAGATGGTGGTTCACTCAACAGAAATAGGAAGGTTTGGAAAAGAAGCAGATTTTTTTTGGAGGGGGGAGAGAATGGATTCTGCTTTGAACAAGTTGAGTTTAAAATGTATAGTAATTATTTGGTGATGTTGGACTGGAGCTCGAGAGAGAGAAGAGTTGGATTTATAAATCTAAAAGTCATCAGCATAAAGATGATAATTAAGCTTATGTGAGCTGGTGAGGTCACCAAGTGAGAAAGTGTAGAGAAGAGAAGGGAGCCCAGGACAGGGCTAAATCCATAGTTAGGGAGTACTATATAGCTGATGAGCCAGCAAAGGAGACTCGGAAAGAAGGGCCAGACAATTAGGCAGAAAACCAAGACAGTAGTTTCAGGAAGAAGAATAAATTCAAGAGGGAAGGGTACTCACTAGTGATGACATCCTTCAGAGGGGTCAATATGGAAGAGGAAGGAGAAAAAGGCATTCTTTGAATTTGGTAAGTAAGAGACAGATCACTGGTAACTTTGGAGAGAGAAGGTTCAGGTGAGTGATCAGGTTGGGAGCCAGAATACTGAGTGAAGAGGTGAGTGAGAACAGATGAAGTAGATGGAGATTGTAATGAGCATAGGCAGCTGTTTCAGGGAGTTTGGTTGAAAAAGGGATAAGAAAGATAGGAAGATAGTTTAAGGATGTTGTAGGGTCTAGAGAGGACTTTTTAAGGAGGGAGGATACTTGAATGTGTTTGTAGGCAGCTAAGAAAGAACCAGTAGACAGGGAGAGATAGAAGGTGGCAAAGAAGATAGAATGCTGGGCCTGGAGTCAGGAAGACTCATCTTCCTGAGTTCAAATCTGGCCTCAGACACACTTATTAGCTGTGTGACCCTGGTCAAGTCACTTCACCCTGTTTGCCTCAGTTTCCTCATCTGTAAAATGAGCTGGAGAAGGAAATGGCAAACTGCTCCAGTATCTTTGCCAAGAAAACCTCAAATGGGGTAACAAAGAGTCCAACATAACTGAAATGACCAAACGACAAAAACAGAAAATTAGAAAGCGAAGGAGCTGTGTGTATAGTAGAAGAAAAACTCTCTCTGCTGTCAGAAGATTTGGCTTTAAATGCCATCTCTGACACTTGCTCCTTGTGTGACCGAGGACGAGTCATTTAATCTCACTGTGCCTCAGTTTTCTCATCCTCAAGGAAGGGTTGGACCAGATGGCCCCCCACGGTCCTTCCAACTCCAGATCTATAATTCTCTGACCTTGTGATTTCGGGGGCAATCTGCTAGAGAATGTTGGACAGAGTAGGTGCTTAAAAATGTTTGTGAAATTGAATTTTAGGAAACAAATGGGGGCATACAAGATCAAATGCAAGATTGTTTGATACAGCAAGTATTTGTGGGCTTTTCTGCAAATGGTGTGAAAGGTTGTACCTTAATTCTGCTCTCCCTTACCACCTCAAGAAGGTAAGAAGCATGAACAATGAAAAGAATAGAAAGAAAAGGAATTCCTTCAAGGAGATTCATGTAGAAAACTTAAAAATAGCAAGACCATATCATCACCTCCCCACTATCTGTTTCGCATGGCCACTTAGCCCCTGCCTCCACCACAACATGTGAACTCGATAGGTGGGGGAAGTGAGCCATCAAACACTAGGAGTGTTTGTCACTGCCCTCAGACTCCCCATGATTTTGCACTGTTCTTTCCACTCCCACCCACCCCTCTCTGGGCCTGACATTAAGGTTCCATGTAGAGAGAGCGCAAGGCGCTAAAGAGCAGGAGAACGTTGGGACCATTGGCAGCTGGAGCACAGATCCAAAAAGGGCCTTTGCCAGTCCCTCCCCCTCAAAAATAAAAATCCATTGTAATCTAGCGGAATCCCCAAATTCTACTCCCGAACAGGTTTGGGAGGAAAAGAAAACACACACACACACAATTACTCACTCAAACACACTCACACACATTCACACACACACACACACACACACACACACACACACACTCTCACACTCTCTCTGTCTCTCTCTTTGTCTCTGTCTCTCTGTCTCTCTCTCTGTCTCTCTCTGTCTCTCTCTCTGTCTCTCTGTCTCTCTCTCTCTCTCTCTCTCTCTCTCTCTCTCTCTCTCTCTCTCTCTCTCTCTCTCTCTCTCTCCCCCTCTCCCCCCTCTGGAGTTAAATCCTGGGGGGAGAGGGAGAAGGGGAGGAGGAGGGGGAGAGAGAGAGATGGATAAGTAGATAGATGGAGAGATAGTATCAATATAGATAGCAATAGCTATCTATCTTTATTGATATAGTTGTATATCAGAGAGACTGAGGAAAAGATCAAAAAGAAAATGTTCTAAAATAGTGACGATTGAGATCAGAGATTCCTAGGATTCAATCCTAGAGAAGAAAGTAATTAAGCAATAGTTAGAACTAGAACCCCAGAAAAGAGAATGGAATGCCCACAAGAACCCCAAGAATGGTTGGAAGTCCTAATAGACTAACAGATAAAAAGGTTAGAACAGAATTCGGGAAATAGCAGTGGATACTTTTAAAAATCAAAGAAAGAATTTTAGAATTAAGTAATTCAGCAAAAAATATCAGAGCCAAGTAAAAATACAGCAAAATTAAAAGAAGCTGAGAGATATCTACTATTGAAAACCACTGACCTGGAAAACAGGGCAAGGAAACCAAAACACTGGTCCTGATCCCCAACTTAAGGACATTAGAGAGAGAAAAAAGGAAAACTCTAGCCCAGTGTCACTAAAGGATATGAAAATGTTGGTGTACATATATTAAATAATATTATAGTTAAGTGGCTTCAGTGATATATTTAAAGGATTAGCCAATGCAGCCAGATTCATTCAAGGGATTCGAGAACTGTTTTACATTAGGAAAAAATTAAGTATAATCATATTACTAACAAAGCAATAAAAACACATGATTATAACAAATCCTTTGCAAAATATAGCAGACATTAACATTCATTTGTTTTACTTCTTTTACTGTAGTTCTTGGAGAACTTCATTTTCTGTTTACTTTGTTTCTCAAAAATGCAATATATTTACTACTCTATATATAATACAACTCTCAGAGAATTTCACTTTATCTCAATCATTTTTGATAACACTATAAAAAAGCATAGGCATAAGAAGGCCTTTCCTTTCTATGATCAAAAATATCTAAAATCAAGAGCAAACATTACTTGTAACAGAGAAACATTAAAATCTCTTCCAGCTGTTAGCACTAGTATGTAATTATAATGCTAATTATAGCATTAAAGTAAGAAAAAAATGAAGGGAATAAGCATAGGCAAAGGAGAATTAACATCTGTCTTTGCGCATGATTATAGGACCAGAGACCTAGAACTGGAAGGGACCCCCAGAGGCCACCAGACCACTTTAAAAGCACATACTTTACATCTCTTGCATTCATCTTCTCTCTCCACTGGAATATCCCCCACCTTGGTTCACACCCTTATCCCCTCTTGCCTGGACAATTACAGTAGCCTCCTAATTGAGCTCCTTGCATTCCAGTCCCCCCACTTCAATCCATTCTCCACCCAACAGCCAAAGTGATTTCCTTATAGCAGTGTTCTGACTGTGTTACTCTCCTGCTTAGTAAACTTCCTTGGCTCCCCATTGCCTCCAGAATCAAATACAATAAAGCCTTTCACCATATGGTTCCAGCTTCCTTTTCCAGAATTACTACACATTTCCACCTTCACCTACCCTGTAGTGAAGACAAACTGCCCTTCTTACTGTTCTGTGTGTATGACATTCCAACCACCATCTTTGTGCTGACTGTCTACCATTCCTGGAATGGACTTCTTCCTCATTTCTCCTCCCAATTTAGGCATTACAAAGCCTTCCCTGTACCACTTAGCTGTTAGTACATACCCTCCCCTCTTCCGATTATCTTCTATAAATTTAGATATGTTACATGTTTTCTCTCTCCCAACCAGACTATATAGAAGGACATGGCCTATTTCCTTTTTGTTTTTGTATCCTCAGCACCTAGCACAAGGTCTGGCAAATGGTAGGCACTGAATAAATGCTTGTTTGCTATTCCATAATAAGCTCCAAATGGAAGCACCTATCCTAAATATGAAAAGAGCATGTCATGAAAAAAAAATGAAGAATGGAATGAGTTGCCTGTCAGATCTGTGGTTAAGGGGAAAATTAATAACTAGAGACAGAGAAGATTCCACAAAGAAACAATTCTGATCAGTTGAAAAGGAAGGTCCAAAGGTGCTTTGAGGTGTGGTATTGTGGTAGGCCCATGTGTAGGCTTGCTTAGGTTTGTAAACAAGTTCTGGCATGTGTGTTAAAATCAGCTGTATTATTTTGTAGTCACACCTGGCAGATTTTAATTAACCTTGGCATTGACTCCCAGGTGCCTTTGGATGAATTACTCATCTTTAGAAAATGGCTCTCACTAACCATTTAGTGAGAATTTGAGTTTACTTCTTGTGGCCATGGACCAAGACTGAAATGGTCACAAATACCTATTTATTATCATGTTTTGGCCATAAATTTTGCTATCCTTCAGTGTTAAAATATGAAGATAATGGCTCAAAATTATGTAAGTAAATATAGTAGACAGTAAAGCATCATTTAAAAAGAAAATGCAAATTTGAAAAATACATTTGTAATAAGACAATTGAAGAAATCTTGAGTTTAATACTTAATATAATTGGTGCCATTCCCTAGTGAATGAATGTTCTTTTGACCTTAATTATGCATTTTCCTGGAAACAAGCCTATGAGATAAGTAGTAAAAATATTATAATCCATATTTTCCAGGTGAAGAAACTGCAGCTCAAGGAAGTCACTCTAGTAAGTCCTATTTGGACTTTTTTTTTTTCTAGCATTGGACATAATGACCTGAAAGCTACCTGTGATTGCTGGGACTCACATCATTTCATGATCCCTCACAAAAACCACAATTGCTTGGCTTCTCCTATCCCCTCTTCCCCAAATTACTTCATATTTGTTTTGTGTATAGATTTCCATGGCTTTTCTCTTGTTTCCCTGCTCTGGAATGGAAGATCCTTTAAAGGCACACACCATTTAGGGTTTTTTCCCCCTTTTCTTCTCATTTGTATCCCCAGCACTTTGCACACAGTGGGTGCTTAATAAGTAATTTTTCAATTTAACAATGAATGGATTTCATCTTTTCCCCTCCAGTGGAGTTCACCTAACTAAGCCCAAAGTTTTGCACTTGAATGTTATTTTTGTGGTAGTTTTCCTGATAATGAAAACATGTTTTAGATGTTTTAATAGAACCTCTAAGTCACAGAGTTTCTCCTGCTTTATGGTTAAGAATAGCATCACTGTAGGATCACTCTTCCCACTCTGGCCCAGCTGTCAAATTAAACTTCCTCAAGAGCATATCTGACCAGACCACTCTCCCTACTCTATAAATATCCGTGGTTCCCTAGCCCTTCCAGGATCAGATATAAAATCATCTGTTTGGCATTCAAATCCCTTCACAAATTGTCCCCCTCCTAACTTTTTCTCCTTTTTCTTTTTTTAATAGTATTTTATTTTGTCCCCAATCATATGTCAAGACAATTTTTAGCATTCATTTTTACAAGATTTTAAGTTCCAAATCTTTCTCCCTCCCTCTCTTCCTCCCCTCCCCTCTTCCTAAAATGGTAGGTAATTTGATATAGGTTATGTATGTGCAATTATGTAAAGCATATTTCCATATTAGTCACATTTGTGAAAGAAGAAACAGATTAAGAGGGGAAAAAACCAGGAAAAAAATAAAGTAAGAGAAAAAAAGTATGCTTCATTCTGCATTCAGAGTCCATCAGTTCTTTACCTGGACACGGATGGCGTTTTCCATTTCGAGTCCTTTGTTCTTGTCTTGGGTCACTGTGTTGCTGAGAAGAGCTGATTCTCCCTCCAATCTTCTTACACCATCCTCACCACCGTGAACTCCAGGATCTGGGGCCACTGGCCTCCTGGCTGCTGCTCACATATTCCATCCTTAGACACGAGCTGTGTTCGTTGGGTCCCTGGGGAATAATGTTCTCACTCTTCATCTCTGCCTCCTGACCTCCCTAGCTTCCTTCAAGTCCCCCTAAAATCTCACCTTCCACAAGAAGCTTTTCCTGGTACCTTTTGAAGATAGTTCCTTCTCTCTGTTGATTACCTCCCATTTATCCTGTTGATAGCTTGTATTTACATAATTGTTTGCATGCCTCCCTTAGACTGTGAGTTCCTAGAGGGCAGGAACTGTCTTTTGCCTCTCTTTGTATCCCCAGTAATTAACATGGAACCTGGTACATAATAGGCACTTAATAAATGCTTATTGACTGGCTGCCCTGGCCACCCCTTGCCTCTGCCCCAACTCACTTGTAAGAGGCATGAGAAATCATTTGGGACCCAAATGAAACCTTGTCACTCCCTTTCAGGAGGCTAAGCCTGAGCCGATGGACTTTCTGCAACATTTCTCAAGCGAGTAAAGGAGCGCAGACATGGAAGCAGTACTACCTCCATCGTTCTCAGCTAGAACACCAGATGGCTCTTGGGAGGCCCTCACAAGATTTCACTTGCAAAGCCATTTCAGGGCATGAGGGTAATAAATACTAAGAGGAACCACACCAACACACACACCTTGAAAGTTTATAGAGTGGCTGACATACATTATTCTATGTAAGGTTCACAGAAACCCTGTGAGGTAAGGAGTATATTATTTCTAGTTTTGCAGAAGAGAACACTGAGTCTCAGCAAGCTGATGTGACTCACCCAAGGTCATGCATCAAAGATGTGGGATTTGAACCCCCTTCTTCTTGACTCACTAGCCCAAGCCCCAAAGAACTATTCTGGCCCCTACCTCTCCTTCCCATTCCTTTTACTATGGTGACTATAGTACTGTGGATTAGAAGAAAGCCATGATAGTGATGGCTACAAACAGATTCACAGGAAAATGCTAGGATTCATTGCATCTACCCTAAGCAAGTCATGCTTGCTGAGGGACCTCAAGCCCACCTTCCCAATCATTATGCAACCTAGTTAATTTTTTGAAGAGAGTGGGGCAGGCAAAGGGTTTCTTAGGTGCCTTTTACCATTATTAGGAGAGAAACCCAATTATTTGCATCCTGGGGTCAAAAGAGGTCCATTTGCTTTTCATTTCAGGAAAAATAGATGGAATGGCTTACCTCTCAGCCATCGAACAGAGATTTGATGGGCAGGAGAAGTCAGTGGTGTGTACCGTGTCAGCAGACTGTACTGTCCGTGCCTGGAATGTGCAAGAGGTGAGTCCAGCAAGAGGCTGGAGGTGCGATGTTCACAGCTACAAACCTAAATGATGCAAAGGCTGTGTTGACAGATTCCTGGAGTTGCAGTAGATTCTGCTCAGTATCTTAAATATCACTGTGATCGTGCTGCATTTTTAGAAACAGTCCTGCAAAGAAACAGATCAGTGGTGATTCTCAGTAGGAGGATAATGCTTCCTCAGCAGTGGTCATGGTACAGCTCATTTTCAGATCACTTCTTATATGAATGAAAAATATACAAAGAATCTGTGAGTTTGTCACTGAAGAAACTCCTGGTATGGGAACTACTCCCATTAATATGAATCAGAACCTCTGTGTGACTTGCTAAATAAGTTCTGTGGAGTTGCCTGAAACACAGATGTTGTGACTTTCTCAGGGTCCCAGAGTTAGAGATTCTCAATGCCAAGATCAGTGCTCTTGGTCCTAACATTAATTAACAAAAATTACTTTTAAGTGTCTAGTAAAGTGGCATCTTGATATGCCGTCTAGGTTTCAGTTTCCTAATTTGTAAAATGAGATTGGACAAATGACCTGGGTTCCTCCCAGTTCTAATTTTATCATCCTATGATCCCTTCATAGGGGCACCTAGGTGGCACCATAGTGCGCAGAGTGCTGGGCCTGAAGTTAGGAAAACTCATCTTCTTGAGTCCAAATCCAGCCTCAGACACTTACTAGTTGTGTGACTTTGGGCAAGTCACTGAACCCTGTTTGCCTCAGTTTCCTCATCTGTAAAATGAGCTGGAAAAGGAAATGGTAAACCACTCCAGTATCTTTGCCAAGATAATCTCAAATAGGGTCGCGAAGAGTCTGTCACAACTGAAATGACTGAACAACGACATGATCCCTTCATAAAGACTTTGCCCGCTAATGCAAGGGCACCTCACTAGTGTAAAATTATTACCAAGTTGGTATATTCCTGATATATCCTTGAGATATGTGTAGAATTGTTGTTAATTTAATATGAAGTTAAATGCACAACTTTTAATGGAATGTTGTGGTGACATGCTTTGTAAACCAGATAATCCCTTTGTAATGCAAATAATTGCCCTTGGCATAGCTCATAGATCTTTACTCAAACAAGTAGTCTTTCAGGGCTGACTTTGTGCCAGATGCCAGGCTAGGTTCAGGGGATACATAGATAAAAACCAAATAGTTCCTGCCTTCAGGATGCTGGTAGTCTATTGTGGAGAGGAGGCACAGAAACAATTAAATACATAAAAAATGTGTAAAGTAATTTGGGGGAGGGGCAAAAAGGGCACTGGTTTGGGGGATCAGGGGAGGCCTTGGCACTTGGACTGAGCCTTGAAGTGAACTAGGGATTGTGAGATGTAGAGGTAAGGAGAGAGCATTCCAGGCAGGGGGACAGCCTAGATGCAAAGGGGCATGATGCAGTGTTGTGTGGAGGTAACTAAGTGGTGAAGTGGATAGGGGACTGGGCACCCCACCTCCTACCTGCTATCAAGGGGTGGGGTTGGAAAATGGGGGAGGGGTCAGGAGGGGAGAGGAAGGAGAAGGACCAGGGGTACCACCCAGGTTTTGCCACATCATACCAAAACCCCCTTTCAGCACTTTGAGGCATGTGTAGAATTGTTGTTAATTTTTGTTAATTGTTGTTGATTGACTGTTAATCAGTCATTTCAGCCCTGGCTCCCACCACACATCTGGAAGCTGCTGGAGAGTATGTCATCTCTGATGCACCGAAATGCTTGAGTCAAACATGTATGCAGCCAGAGTCAGGCAGAGAATATCTGTGCATTCTCTGGATAACCCACATTACATATAGAATTTGGAGATTAGCTTAGTGGCTTCTAAGATCTCTTCCAACTCTAAACCTCTGGGCCCACGAAGTCTAGGAAGGACCAAGCAAATGTTCTACATCATCTGATACTTCTGATCCTTCTAGCATTAAATGTACTTGGCAAGCTCATATTTTTAATGCAACACTGTGGTAACTCTGGTGATAAAGCAAAGACCTTTTGTATCATGAATAATCAATCACCTTCCCCTCTCTACCCGCCTTCTAGTTGTTTTGTAAGTCTGCCTGCTCTTTCAGTGACTCCAAGATCTCTTTGATGGGTTGCCTCCTTAGCTAGGGTAGATGAGGACCCATCTCACTGAATTCAGGAAATAGACAAGTCAGCTTGACATGAGAGGTAAAAACAGAAGGCTGAAGGGACCCCAAGATGGCTCCAGATCAAGGGATGATATCCATTAAGAGCTAAAGAAAGCCGTGTTAATTCCCATACTGTCCAAGCCACAGACCCATTTCCTTACCTTAAAATCACAGAATCATAGAGCGTCAGGTCCAGAAAGGACCTCAGAGATCATCTGGTCTGACACTCATTTTACTGAAGCTAAGGCCCAGGAAGGGAAAGGACTTGGCATGGTTACTGCTGGTCAATGTCAGAGCCAGGCCTCCCGACCAAAGTCTCAGGACCAGGGTCTTTCCTGCTGTCTCTTAGTCCTCAAGGTCAGTAAGTGTGGAAGAAAGTGAAGGGCACAGAAGTTACATGGCCCTGAGAATACTTCTGTTGGTTTCATTCCGTGATGTAATCTCTGGAAAGGTTCATTTGGCTCCCAGTCAAGATTTCTAGCACACTATGAGGTTGGCTGAGTCATCATGGTGACACAAATAAGAAAAAATTCAGGGAATAGTACCAGCTTTTACATTAATTTTCTAGGTGACCTTGGGTAATTCACTCCCCTACTTTTGGTTGGGTCTTCAGGGCCTCTTTAGGGCCTTAGGTTTTATTTTGTTGTTGTTTTTTTTTCTCACTGTAAAGCAGTGAAGTTAAACTAGATAGCTTTTAAGTTTCTTTGAAGTGGTTCCAGAATTTGAAAACAAGAACAGAAAAGATGTTTGAATGAAAGAGAATTTGTATTAAGCCAGAAACCCCAGAAGGCATTCTGCTAGATTTTTTCAATTCAGTGAGCACTTACTAAGTAAGCACCTACTATGGGCAAGGCACTGTCACATACAAGGGTTATGAAATTAAATCTAACATGGACTCTACTTTTAAGGAATATACAAACTAATAGGGGAGGAAAAGTACACAGATAAGTGACTGTCCTTCACCCCTGGACTGCTGACCTCCTTGGCTTCCTTTAAGTCCCAACTAAAATCCCACCCGCTCCAGGAAGCCTTCCCCAAACCCTCTTAATTCTAGTGCCTTCCCTCTATTGTTTCCTAATTATCCTGTGTATAGCTTGCTTTATGTGGTCCCCCCCCCCCTTTAGATTGTGAGATGCTTGAGGGACTGTTTTTTGCCTCTTTTTGTATGCCCAGCACTTAGCACAATGCCTGGCATTTAATATATGTTGATTGATTGATTGATTAATTGATTGATTGATTGATATGAGGGCAAATGAGTTAAGTGTAAAGGAGAGGTCTAAGCAAAGGGCTGTGACAGATTTGAGGAGGAAATCACTTATCATTTTCAAGAGGGGGTAAACATGGGAGGAACAGATTTTGAGGGAAGGTTCCATGGAAGAGGCAGACTCTGCATTGGGTTTTTAATTCGACGGTCAGATATGAGAAGGGAGTCTATTTCAGGAGTGGAGGACTGCATAAGTTAGGCACAGAAAGAAGATGTGGAAAGAGTACTTGGTTCTGGAGTCAGAGGACCTGGATTCAAAATTGACGTCTTACATTTACTACCCATGTGCCTTTGGGTAAGTAATTTTTCCTTCTTGGGCTTCAGTTTCCTTCTCTTTAAGATGATTCATTGGACTAGATGGCTGTGTAAGATGCCTTCCAACTGTAAATCTGATTCTACGATGGAGTAGGTGGGAGTGGCAATAGAATTTGTGTGGAACATGAGGCACAGAATGGTGTAGGCAAAGCTGGAGAGGTAGGTCGGGACCTTGAATGCCAGAATAAGTTTATACTTTATTTAGCAGGCAATTGGAAATCCTGGAGGTTGTTAAGCAGAAGAGCCACATCAGTGTAACACGTTCCTAGATATTGCTGTAGCAATTCTCACAAATGGTAAATGATGAGCATTTGTTTTCCCAGGGCACTCAGATCTGGTCCAGCTCTGTTCAGCCAGCTCCGCTGAGGAGACTCCTGACTGTCCCTGAGCATCGGCTGGTCATCACCATGGATGGGCGAGGGACCATCAAGGTGTGGGATGGACAAACTGGGAAGGAGCAGGCCACCTTCATCACACCCTCTACCTGGTGTAATCTGGTGCTCTGTGGGGTGCCAGAGAACCCTTTCTTGACAGTAAGTAGGCTTGGCAGATGTTTGACCTTAAGCAAGTTATTTTCACTGTATGTGCCTGTTTCCTTATCTGTAAAAAGATTGAGTTGAACCAGAGCAGGGATTCTTGACCTTTTTTTGTGCCATGGATCCCCGTCGGTCTGGTGAGTCCTATGGACCCCTTCTCAGAATAATATTCTTAAATACATAAAATAAAATCCACAGGATTATAAAAAAATCAAAATCTATGGAAATAAAGATGTATTTTTTTCCCATTTAAGTTCACAGTACACCCCGCTTCATAGATCTATCCGAAACCTAACTACTCTATTGCTCTAACACACCATAGTTTATTAAGCCGTTTTCTAATCTTGAACATATAGGTTATTTTCAGGTTCGTTTGTTTGTACTACAACTAAAAGAAGGGAATAAGCACTTCTATAGCGCCTACCATGTACTAGGCACTGTGCTAAGCACTTTACAAACAGGTGCACCCTACAAATATTATCTCATTTAATCCCCACAATAGCCCTGCAACGTAGGTACTTTTATTATCTCCATTTTACAGTTGAGAAAATGGAAGCAAACAGAAATTAAGTGACTTGCCTAGGACCACACAGCCAGTGTCTATGGCCAGATTTAAATTCCTGAGTCCTGGCCCAGCCCTCCATCCACTGTGCCACCTAACTGCCTCTGAATAAAGCAACTATATATAGTTGTATGATTATAGGTCTTTCAGTCCTTTTAAAATTATTTTTT